GAATGCCCCAGTATTGGGTGTGAAACTTGTACAGAGCAGTATTGCATGGTCTCCCCTTTCCCAGGAGAATATCCGTGCTGGAATGAGGTGCCAGACTGGAAGTGCTGGAGATTGCACTAATTCCTGTAGCCACAGAGCAGGCCTGGCACACAGCAGGGCAAGCTTCCCTCGAGAGTGCTTTGCCAACGTGCTGGGAGACTGAATTGAGATGACCTCCCTCTACTTCCTAGGAAGGAGAGTCAATTCAGGCTGTGCAGCCCAACTCGTACTGTACAGAGGCCTCTCTTGAGGCTGTCAGCAGGGATAATGGTGTTGGTAGTGATGGGAGGTGGAGGGGAAATGGCTTTTATGACTTATCTGGGAACAGAACTGCAACATGGCCCAGTTCATCACATGGGAACCAGTGAACAGGCAACAGGTGCCCATTTAAAACTTCAGTGGCTTGAGCCACATTCAATCTGCAGCTGAGAGTCATTTGGCCTTTCTATGTTCTCCTTTAAGGGATAGATCATGGGATGGAGGAAGGAATCTTCCAAAGAAAATAAGAACCACAGAGGTGGGGCTGGGCTGGAATAAGACAAAAACTGATGATCTCTTAGAGCAGGGAGGGGCAACCGGGAATGATAGGTGGACTGCATGAGTGGCCCTCTTTCACCTTCCACCTGTGGCCCCTTAGACCTGGCCCCATCTGTTCCCCTCCCCCATGTGCCTCTCTCACACCAGAGCCTGCACTTACCTGCTCTTCCCCCTCCCTCCCATCTCATTTGTAAGTGGGGACAGAGCGCAAGTCAGGCAATCTGCAGCTCCTCTGAAAGTGCTGGGAGGGAGGGAATGAGGAAGGGAGGAGGAGCAGCAAGTGTGAAGTCCCAAGTGCACAGGAGGCAGCTGGGGTTTTTTCCACCACTGTCTGAGCCATGGGACTGGACAAACACTGGGTCAGACCAGTGGGCTACCTATCCCAGCTTCCAACACTAGCCAGTCCAGGTGCGTCAGAGGGAATGAACAGAATAGGGCATTTTATCCCTCCGTTCCCATCATCCACTCCCAGCTTCTGGCAGTTAGGGGCTTAGGGGCAGCAGAGTATGAAGTTGCTTGAAGGAGTCTTATTGAGTTGGTTAGTGCAGGCTAAAGTGTTTCTTCAGTAGCAGGCGGAGAGCATTTCCTGTTACCCAGGAAGGAGGTGACTCATGTCACTCAATTGCCATTTATGGGATTGGGAGAAAGGGAAAGGAGGTAATTTTATATTCTTTGCTTTATTGATGTCTCAAAATTAAGACTTCTTGTTAACAAATTGTGCCTCTAAGACACTTGGCAAATGACCTTGCATGGAGTGTCTGTTCTTTCATGTCTTGCAAAGAGTTCCATTAACCTAGAGAAACATTTTAGGGTCTCATGGTTGGAAGGAATTCATCCTCGTAGGTTCATTTAATTCCTAGTATTTAGTCTAGAGAGGATGTATATTCATACTGCATAGAGCTTTGCTTGTACAGTTCTGAAAAGCCTTTTGGGTTTTTTTTAGAGCATCTAACATGATCGATTTATTTGCAGCTGACTTCGGTGTGTCTGCCAAAAACATGAAAACTTTGCAGAGACGAGATTCCTTCATCGGGACCCCTTACTGGTAAGTAAACTAGCTTGTTAAGCAGCCTTCTTTTGAAAGGTGAATTCCCAGAGAACTGTGCATTCTTAGCACCTTTTGGGTATCAGACTGGAAATCTAGATTGTAACATCTTGCTAGGACAAGGATGTGATGTACTTAGGGTCCATTTAACTATTTTGCCTTATCAAGCGTCGGTAGGAGGATTTTAACACCATTCTATAATTTTAATAAAAAATAACTAAAATACAAGTCCAGTATCTTCTGCTTTCAAGAGTCTCACCAACTGTGCGTATCATAAAGGAACAGCATGAAGTGTGTTGGGGCAGCTGGAGAGGAACAGGAATACTTCTCTGTTGGAATGACACCTCTCCCTCCAACCCAATGCAATTCCTGCAACTTGGAAGTAGGTGGAATCTGGGACACCACCATATGTGGTGGGGGAGGAATCTTCTTTCTCCCCCACCACATATGGTGGAATGTTTTTTTGAAGCAGCTCCATGTGCATGGAGGCCACAACTCACTCCAGGAATGTAATCTCTAAATCACCTCTTTGCTGAAGGAGTGGGATCAGTGAGCATTAATTTATTGTCTGAAGCAGCATCTGTGCCAGATGTGTCTGCCTTGGAGGTTTTCACAAACTGCCTAGGCTGTCTCAGCTGATCTGGGAATGGGGGAGGAGAAGGGAAATAAGGGTCTTTTCAAACCTCAGGAAAGCTGCTGTTCCCCATTAGCTTGCTAGGAGGTCCTGCTTTGGGTGAAGGTGCCATGCTGCAGATCAATGACATGGTTTGAGTACTGACTCATTGGACTTGTGTGCAGCCAGTCTCCTCTTGAAAACGTGCTTGTGTTGGTAGCAGGATGCCGCAGACATTTCCCGCTTCCCCTTGTGTGCTCCCTTGCAGGATGGCCCCTGAGGTAGTGATGTGTGAAACTATGAAGGACACTCCCTATGACTACAAGGCCGACATCTGGTCCCTGGGAATAACGCTGATAGAAATGGCTCAGATAGAGCCCCCCCACCATGAACTGAACCCCCATGAGAGTCGTGCTGAAGATTGCCAAGTCTGACCCTCCCACACTCAACTGCCCTTCTAAATGGTAAGAAGACAAAGAGCACGGAAGCTCTTTGCTGTGGCTTCCCAGTGATGCTGGGCTCAGCTGTTTGTGCAATGCAAATGTCCTCCAGGGAGCTGCTTGCCAATTATTATATGTTTTCAGGTCTCCAGAGTTCAGAGACTTCCTGAAGACAGCTCTTGATAAGAACCCTGAGACTCGGCCAAGTGCGGCACAGCTGCTGGAGGTACGCAGCTGTCCTCAAGGGAGCTGAACCCCTCAGACTGGCCTTTTGTGTCGAGTGCTAACCTTGTCTTGGAATCTTCTAAGCACACCATGTGTCTAAGTAATTTGTGTATCTCCCAAACCTCATCTGAAGCAAAAACTTACTGATCCTCCCCAGTTTTCTAGTTCACTTGTACTTCTCTGGGATGTCTTGCTGTGCTGGTAACACTCTTACAGGCAGACTGAGCTGTGAACATTTTTGTCTGCTTATTGAAAGGCTATGTCTAGACAAATTCTCTGATACATCCAGAATGCCCTGCACACTTGTGCAACAGACCGTCATTTAGGAGTAATGCTTGGGGGTCCTTCATAGCAAGAGTTCAGCAAAGAGTAGATGTGATGTTTGCAATATTTGGGTAGATGTTGCTAATTGTTTAGTCTCCACTACTGACTTCTTTATGCAGTGCCTGTGGGGCTAGCTTTCCACAAGACTATCTCCCCACCTGAATGTCTGGAGGTGGGGAAATGGTTCAGTAATGGTTGCCAGGTGACCTAAGTTGGGGACATTTGTCCAGGGAGAAGCTTCTGCCATAAACTGTAAAAGGAAAATAACCTGACTGCTTAAATACCATCGACCAGAGCCTGGGGCTGATCAGCAACTGGAGAGTTCACACCCTAGCCCAGAATGGCTGTAGAATCCTGGGGAAGAAATGGCATTTGATTGTCTACACCATGGAAGTCCACTAGACACACAAGATTCTGTGTTAAGGTTACACAGACCATCTTAATCTGTCACTTTCTGACTTCTTGGCCTTTTGTATGGACTAGGGATGTTAGATGTCGGTTAATTGAATAATCATGTTACTTCATCAAATTTTAGTGATCACAGGACTATTCGATAGTCCCCGGGGGTGGGGCCGACAGCCTGTGTGCTCCTGGCCCCACTCCCAGGGAGCCCCCTGCCTCCCCGTGCTGCTGTCTGCAGCACAGGGCGGAAGCAGCCTCTGTCCTTCGTGAGCCCAGGCCCGCCGCGGACAGAGGCTGCTTGGCAGCAGCAGCTTCCCCTACCTCTGATATAGGTAGCAGCTCATGGGGAGCTGGCCTTTAAATTGGCTCCCCCCAGGCACTGTGGGAGGTAGCGGGGGGGAGAGGTGGGGCAGCTGGCTTCGCAGAGGTACCAGCTACCCTGCCCTCCTTGCAGCCTCTTTAAACAAGGGGAGGGGGAGTGTGTGTAGTCAATAGGATTAACCAATAAGCCCAGGTATATCAGTTAATCATTTAGTTGACTACACATTGACATCCCTAGTATGGACTATCCATAGTGAAGTCTAATGATCAATGTTGTACGTCTCTTGGCATCCCCTCCCCAGTCTGTGTACTTCAGGGCAGACACAATCTAAAAGAGAATCTCCTCTTCTGCTTGGAAAGTACCTACTGCGTTTTGGGCACTACAGCGTTCGAAAGAATGCTAATCCTGTTACCACTGAAGCAAGCGAAAAAGCTGTGGCTCCAATGGAGCTGGGATGGGCTTTGATTTCCTAGTTATGCCAAGATGGCAGTTGCCATTTGAAGTGCAAGTCACATCCCCACCCTTACCCTTCAAAAACATAAGATGTTAAATGCTTTTAACTGCCTATTTGAGTGCTCTGAATAACTCGCATACGGTGCTGGTGTATCTTCTTCATGCTTTACACTCTAATGTAATTTTTGATGGGGGGGGGAGGGGACGACACTCCAAGAATTTGGAAAGTGGTCAGGGGCTTCACTCTTCCATGATGTTAATGGAGGAAGTGCAGGGTCTGGGATGGAGTTTGGGTGAAGGAGGAAGTTGTGACCTGGGGCAGGAGATTGGAGTACAAGGTCTGGGAGCGGGTTTGGGTTATGTGGGTTGAGGGGGCAGAGTTCAGGGGAGGGAGGTACTGTGGTGCCAGAGGCAGGCTATGTAATTGGGTGGCTCCTGGCCAGCAGCCCAGCAGGCTCCTTGCCTGTCCACCCCTCAGGCTCACAGCTATTCAGACCCACATGCCCCCTGCAGCTGGTGCAGGGGTGGGAGGAGGGGTGCTTCACTGTGCTGAGGGGGGGGGCAGTGTGCAAAACCTCTTCTCCCCCTGCCCTTGGGCTCACAGCTGTTCAAAGACAAACAGGACCCAGCAGCTGCTTTTCTGAGCTGTGTGTGGGGCAGGCAAGGAGCCTGCCTGAGGCTCCCCGCTGCATCCCTGCCAGGATCAAGCAGTGTGGTGGGCTGAATGTGGCCTGTGGGCCATGTTTTGCCCAACCCTGCTCTATATAGTGGTCAGTCACATGGTTTTGTTTGAGCATTTCATTTGGCATGTAATGTGCCTCTTTAAATCAGCATCTGATCTGGGACATTGATCGTTCTGGCCTCATAACTCTGAGTGGAGGACAGAGTGCTCTCGCCTGTGGTTTGCCACCCAGGAAAGTTTGACTAGGGGTGTGTTTACCTTACTCAATAACAGGAAGTATACAATACACTTTGGAAACCGGCGGACACCCTAGCTGCTTTATGAAGCTTAGTACACATGCGCGCTCTGTGTGTATTGCCTGCAGTTTCAATTACGCATCCTTCCACTCTGTTTACACATGTAGCTCTTAGAGCTGCCACTCACCTTCAGCTGAGAGCCACACCATGCTCATATCGGAGAGATCTGGGCATTCAGTCCCAAGCAGGGATGTAAAAAAGTGTTTTGGTTTTGTGTTGTGTTGTGTGTTTTTTGTAAATCTGTAACCACTGAAAATTTCAGTGTTACACATGGAAGGGAGGCAGCTCCCTGCAAGCACCGACTCCCGTGAATCTGCCCCCCCGCGCGCCCCTCCCCCCGGCACAGCTGCTGCAGTAACGGGGGGGAAGGGGGGGAGAGGAGGTGGTGGCTCTGTGGGAGCCAGTACTAGGGACATTAAAATGCTGTTATTTGTGTAAATGTGTAGCCACTGAATTTTTCAGCGATTACTCAAAAAAGCCTGATTCCCTGCCAGCACTGGCTAGCGTCCCCCTCCCCCCACCACACTGTTACCTCTGTATCAGAGGCAGCAGTGGGGGTGGGGCAGGCGGCTCCATGGGAACCGGCATGTGCAGGGAGCCAGCTTATAAACCGGCTCCCCATGCACACCAGCATCTCCCTTCCCCTCTGATACAGAGGCAGCGGGGTGGGGGGGATGCATGTAACTGAGCGGGTCAACCAATGAGCCCAGGTAGGAGTCTAACACGTGTGATTGGGTTTTCAGCATTCCTTCATTAACAAGGTCACCAGCAACCGAGCTCTGCGTGAGCTCGTGGCGGAGGCAAAGGCTGAAGTGATGGAAGAAATCGAAGACAATCGAGAGGAAGGAGAAGAGGATGAATCATCGGAACTTGTATCTGTAAGTCTTGTTCTCTCCCCCGCTCCTAGTTCTGTGGCGGGGAGGGGGCGTGGGTCCTGTAAAGGTGAAGGCAGGAAGAGCTGCAGGCCAAAGTTGCTGTAGGATTTAAAGCAATGACGACTTCTATCCATCGCTGCCTCAGACTCCTCTTGAGGAAAGGCTGCCGCCTTGCTAAGTCCGGTCGGGTGGACAGGAAGGTGGTGGGAGAGGGTCCTGGAAAATAATGCCGCTGGAGGGATGCCAAGCTTTCCCTTCAGAGGAGGAACACACAGCTGCTGCTGCTGGTTGCAGGCTGGCTAGCTAGCTTGCCTCAAGCTCCAGGAAGGAGTTTCTCTCTGCTGACCCCTGCCATCAGGGCAGGGCCAGTTGTGTTGTGCTCTTGGGCTAGTGGTAGCTGAAGCAGCAGCTGGTTGCTCTGGGAACAAGGTGTTGCTGACTCGACCATTGTCCTGGCACAAGCTTATTGGCAGCTCTGGGTTCCAGCTGGCAACGTGCTGCTGGGGGGCGCTGCTGGTTCCTGGTGACGCGTCGCCCTGAGGAGCGCAGAGCGGATGGCAAATGGCAGTGTGCCTCCAAACAAAGGCTAAAATACCCAGACCAGTTTGCTGACTCAGCAGCAAGTATTCTAGGCCTGGGAGTTCTCTGTGCACTCCCTTTGCACTTCTACATCTCCTACTACCTCATGGGATGTGGGGAGGGCATGGGGGGGACCATGACTTCATTGCCATGTGTAAGGGCAGAAAGGTGAGTGCCAGGCTCTCCCTGCCCCTTCTCCCCTTGGCCAGTGCATCTGAAGTGGTCCAGTGCTGTTCAGGAAGATGGTGAGCAAGGCACGGCATGGCCTAGGGAGCAAGGAACTAGACAGCACAAGGGAGAAGTGGAGACAGAAAAATGCAGCAAAGTGGCAGAGAAAAACATAACCAGCAGCTCCAGGCTGGGCTGGCAGAGCTGCCCCCAGTGCCAGTGTCGAAGTCAGCGATGGGCAACCAAGACTAGAGATTGGGCTGCATGACTAGCCCTTCTCTGTTTCAGTGGGCCATTGGAGCCGCGCACTTCCTATTCCTTCACCTCCCTCCCAGCACGTTTGGAGCACCATGAATCCAATGATTTGTGTTCCGTCCCTGCTCCTCCCGCCTCCCCCTCCCCCCTCAGAACTTGAACAGCCATAAACAGCTGATTTGTGGCATTCAAGCTCGGAAGAAGAGGGAAGTGCGAGGACAGAGCATGAATCAGTGGATTCAGGGCGCTTTGGGAGTGCTGGGGCGGGGAGGGAGAGGAAGGTGTAGGAAGTATGGGGCACACAGGCTGCAAGTGGAACTCCAGTGGGCCACATGCAGGCCAAGGGTTGCCTGCCACTGGTTAAAGGCTCTCAGGAGCAGCCCAGAATGTGGCTTCCCCAGGACCATTGGGGGGAGGTGCCAATGGAATATCAGGATTTTCCTGATCCAAGAGGGACTTGAACTCCATAGCATGGTCACTCTGGACCCAGTTCCAGAAAAGGAGCTATTAAAACCCCGGTGATGGCCAGAAAAGGAGCTATTAAACCCTGGTGATGGCCAAGGGAAGAGAGCACAGCAGTCTGGGCTGAGCATGGTATCTTGGGAAAGAACCAAAGCTGCACTGCCAGGATTGCACAACCAGGCAAGAGCAAAACTCAGCTAAACACACTGGGCTTTGTCCATTTCTCCTCCACAATCACAGCTGCCCCCAGGAAAGTTACTGGAGTGTAAGCCACTTGAGTAGGAAATACCCACTGATCTTGTGTTGCTGGGGTATTCAGTGGGGTCTCCTTATTTGTGATCCGAGTTTCACTCTGCCTGCGTGTGCTTCAGTCCTGTCCTGTTTTCTTTTCTCTGTCCTGTCAGCCCCCCGGGACTCATAAGCGAGACCCTTCGGAGGTGAGCCAGTTGAGTTTTGAGGGAGAGAAACCTCCAGAATCCCCCTCCCCGCTGGAGATGAATGGACCCACATTGCCTGTGGGGCAGGCCAAGAAGACTGTAGACAGAGACACAGACAGATTCTCAGATGAAGGTATCAGCAGCGAGAACTCCATGAAAACTACAAGCAGCTCCGAGTCATCTGGGATAGACTGTGGCAGAATTGCCCCTGGCACCCAGGAAGAGCCGGTCCCCAACCGCCACTCTGCACTGCTAGAGGAGGATAAGGTTAATCCAGTGAAGGAGAAACGCAATGAAAGCAAGAAGCTGGAGTCAGTGAATAAAGAGCATAAGAGCATTGGGAACTGGCCTGAGAGCAGCCACCTGGAAAATGCTGCCAGGGAAAAACTTGCCAATGGGAATTTGGATTCTTTTCTTCAGTTGGCCAGCAGTCGGTCCAAGCGGGATTCTGATTCTGGCAGCACTTCTGCTTCGGAAAGCATGGATCTCACCACCTCTCTGTCCCTTAGCAGGGAGAGTGGCTCGCTGTCTCTGAAGGTAAGGTTGGGGTTGGTTATTCATCAAAGATTAAAAGGTGATTTTAATCTGGTAGATGGAACTCAACATGGAGACTATTAGCTTTCCCTGACTCCTTCCAAACAGCCTCCTTTCCTGAAGCACCTGACAAATGTTGGGTTTTTTCCCTCATGACAGTGATGGTGATTTTGCCATGGAAGGAAAAAGGAAGTTGTCAGTGTATGGTGTTAATGGAGGATCCAGGTTGCCTGGTGATGAGTGAGGGTAGATAAGGGTGAATAGTGCCAGAATTTACTTTTGCTTTGAGTTTAACTGCTGAACACTGCAGTGAAAGAATCAGCAAATTATTATCCCAGCAGAAGCAATGACATAAACTCATCGAAGCACCCAGATTCCAGGCAAGTGACACTAACGGATGTCAAACCACAAAATAATTCTGTTCTGCATCCAAATCTTCCAGCAATAGTTTGAAATGATCACCAACCCCATAGGCGGGGAGTAGCTTTGTTTAAGGGCAGATAATATGCCTGGAAGCAGAGGTTGTTTGGTGTGTGGTGATTATTAGTCTGTGGCATGGGGCATTAGCCTGACTGCTACACCCTTTAATCTTGTACTTTCTCAGTGTTGCTACTGGCTTTTCCTTTCCAGTTGCAGTTTCCAGGCCAGTGAAATCTAGTTAAAGTTTTACATTCTGCAACTAATTATAGTCTTTTGTAAATCAGTGGGAAACCTGAAGCTGACATAACTTGTCCAGCCTTCTCCCTTGCGGGGACCTGACAGAGTCTGTGAGCAAGTCCCAGCCTGAAAAACAAAATCATTAAATTGCACCTTTGTACAGTGCTGATTAGCCTATTTCTCTTGCACACTGATAGACAGCTTCATTTGGTGTCCGCTTTGGACAGCGATAGCTTGCGATTTCTCAAATACTTAATGGGTCTATTCTAGCTTGTGTCAAAGGTTAAACAGCTCTTTGCACTAAGATCTTCCAGCAGTCCTGACTTTTATGCATGCAGGTGAGGACAATCCCAAAGCTGAGCGTTGAGAGGTCACCAGGTATTACTTTGTTCAAGGAAGCAAAGTAAATGAAATGACTTTATTTGCTGAGCCCGGGAAGAAGCAAGATGCTGTGTAACTTGGGGAGCCGCAGACGTGTTACAGTAATTCCTCATTTAACACTATAGATATGTTTCAGAAAATGATCGTGTTAAGTGAAATAGTGTTATGCGGGGTCAATTTTCCTATTGAAAATAATGGAAAAGGTGGGGGTTGCATTTCAAGTGGTAGTGTCTGTTGGGGACCGGGACATAAGGTTGGGGGAGAGAGGGTATGGGGTTACAGCAGGGAGGGGAGGTGTTTGGCTCTGGGGGAGGGAAGGGGAAGAGAGGGGAGGAGGATTGGGTTGGGAGTATGCCCCTGTGACAGGACTGCCGGGACCTGCACTGCGTCCAGCGAGGAGGGGTTGCCGGGGAACAGCGCAGCGAGTGGCGAACCCTCTGCCGCTTTGCGGGGAGGCCTCGCGCAATGGGCCTGCTGGGGAAATCGTGTTATTCCAGGGACGGTCGTGTAATTCAAAAAACGTTCCCTAAAAAAAAAATCGTGCTGTCATGAAAACGTGTTAAGCAGGCACGTGTTAAATGAGGCATTACTGTATTGCACAAGATCTTTGTCCAGTTGTCTGTGCAAGTGATGGCTTCCAGGTGTAGAAACATGGCCAAAA